AACTCTGTGCCTGCCATGCAGACTGTAAAATCAATTTGGAGTTTATTATTAGGATGGAAACTGTGATACGTTCAGCCAGTGTAGCAGTGCTGTCAAAATCCAGCACTAAACTTTAAATCCTGCACTGAAACAACCATAAACCGTGACACAAACAACATTTAGTAGGTGAGTCCACTAATTTTACATGTGAAATTATCAGATTAGTTAGGGTCGGTCCATCTCAGAGAACAGTTTTAGTAATGCATTGCCTTTACCACAGCCACCTTAATGATTAGGCTTGGGCTTTTCTGTTTCATAGCTTAAACATTTTCACTACTTAGGCTACATTTTATAGGTTTATTGAATTTTTAAAAAGTAGGGACGGGGTGATATATCAGCCACATAACAGCACCTCCCTGTATCAGCCTGGGTAAGAGAAAGAAACGTATCGACAAATGAGGTAGCCGATGTTTATCTGTTGTCAGCGCAGCTTCCCTGAATAAACGTTCAGGGACAGAGACTTTCAGAGATTTCTTTGTTTTCATGTTAAAAGTGAGCATCTGTATTGAACCACAATTTCAAATAACTGGTCCATCAGAATCAGCTTTTTTTTGACAAAGTAGGTGGACACATTCAAGGAAACGGGATCGTTTTTTTCTTTGCTCTCAATGTTCTTAACAGCATGGAAAACAGATAATGCCAAAAACAGCAACATGACAGACAATAGCAGGACATATGTCATATTGATGTTTATGTGCAACAATGCAGCGGTGCGGAGTATATAAATAAATAAGGATTGGATAACTGGTTACTATATATAGAAGGGACTTGACAACATACATTTATATAATTAGAAATAACACCATATTTACTTTAAGGTATTTGTTTTGTCATAAATTGTTGATTTCATTGAGCTACATATTATATATCATTGTACACCTTGCAGCTGTAGTAATCAGTCAAACTGCCGTTTAAACCATGCGTATACTGTCAAATAACACTTGTACTAAAGACTTGCAATCAGAGCTGTGAATCTGAGATGAACATATTAAGGCAGGTTTCAAATATCAGTTACGATGAATCTAAATGTATTTTAATTGGTATCAATGAACTTCCTGTGTCATTTTAGCCACTAACAAAAAAAAAACAAAAACACAGAAACACACACACAAAGAGAAACTCATATGATGTACTGGAACAATCATACATAATTGATATAAATGAATCTAAATCTCATAAATGTTTTACCGGTTTATCAGTTTTATTGAATAACCAAAGGCTTTAAACCACTGAATTTAAAGCCTTATGATTTATGAAGTCATGTTACGTAAACATCCATCAACACTATAGATGCAACAGCCACTAATGCAAATACTGACTGTGTAACAGAAAAATAAATAAATAAATAAAAGTCATTTGTGGAATGCACTAAATGGATGGATTTGTCTTTCATTTTAGTCTCAGGACTCTTGAACCTGTGTAAAAGGACTCAACAGTAGCACGGTGACTCTGTGCTGTAGCTCACCTGTTTCAGGCTGTGATTCAAGGTTAGGCCCTGACCTATATTCTCTGTGTGTCAGGAATAATTGAATAAATAACAGTCACTGCTGTAGTGCCATATGCGTAAATGTGTGCAGCGTCCTGTTAACGTTTTGTCAAACCAGGATTAGGCTGCGTTCACTGGCGAGTCTCTTTATTAACCAGGCTCGTGCACATTTGCAAATTAAGCACATGAACTTTATTCTGTGCTTCCTGATGTTTATGGACTACTGTTGGTGCAAAAGAAGCCTGATGTCAGGAAAAAAAAAAGAAAAGAAAAAACGCCACTTCAACTTATCACTGTTTTCACAAAGTACAGGCCTTGAGTGTTTTCCTGTATCTGGCGTGAGATTTTCTTGGACATCTTATGAGTGTGAGATAAAATCATGTGTCTAGGAAGCAGCGTCAAAAACAACTAGTCTGTGGGATCCACTTATCCACTTTTGTGCTAGTTTTGGTTTCCAGATAAAGAAATTCTCCATCTTGAAGTTAAACAGTCTTAAAAACAATGTAAACTGTCCACTGCTGCTGCTGTTTGCGCTTCTCTTAACGCTTTTTTGATCCCTTGTTGTCTTTTTTGTGCTTTTTCCCCTTTTGATGAACTTTGTTGCCCCCTTTTGTCCAACAGGCATTCGACCTATGCTTAGCAACTTCACCGTCAGGCTATGTGCTGTCAGTTTTTTAACTCTAACTCCTTTATATGTGATTGTTTGATTAAGACAAACAAACTGACCAATAAATGCACAAAAATGTTGCCTGACAATTGACTTTTTTTTTTTAAATTGTCATAAAGCTCAGTTTTTGTTTTTGTTTTTAAAAAAAATGGAATTTACTGTCAATTATTTCATGATTTACATGGTTAAGTATATTTGCTCTCACTGTAGCAGTGAGTAGTAGGAGCAGGCTGAAGCCTGAGATTTAGGTTCAGGGGGATTATTTGCATTTATGAAGAAACTTTGACCATGTGTGATATAACCCTGCCCCACAGGAAAAGCAGGAGCCCTTTAGATGGCAAAAAGATGCTCATGTAGGACATGATGTTACTAATAAACCTGGATTGATGTCTTTACAGTGTAACACACTAACAGTCTCATTTCATGCGTGTTTGCCCTAAATCTTACATCCAGATTTCCCCGTTGTTGTTTTTTACCCCCTCCCCCCTCTGCAGTGAAAATATAATTACACTTTCTTCATTAAAGTGAGTAATTTCTTGCGTGGAGGACTCGACTACAGCTGTCCTCTGATTACTAAATGGAACGGAGCAATGATCTATGGAGCCATTAGGGGAACGGGCTGGAACTAATTTCAATCCTGGAATGGACCAGTGGCTGCAAACACACTCGCACACATACAAACAAACACACCACACACATACACAAACACAGAGGGATCAAAGGATGAGAGTGGGAGAGAGACATAACAAACAGCCACATGTCGGCCATTTTCTGGTCTCACATAGAGCTCCAAAATGATCATCTTTTAGCACAAAATAACGAGGGTATCCATGTTTCACCAAGCAAGCGTGGCTCACACACACTTATCTCCTGCTCTACTTGTGTTGTCAATGTAACTGTTGATGCACTTCCATCAATATACCTGAGCAAGAATTTTGAGAAACAGTATTATTTATTGCCCTGCCAGCTACAGTCACTTTCAGAGTTGCTGAATAAGGCTGCAGTCTCATCATGTTTGATCTTATCAGACTAAATTCTCATTGGTCTGACAATCGCTAGCTTTACTTGCACGAGGGGAAAAGTGCTGCAATAATAGCCTTCAGTCCAATCCATTACTTTTGGCAGTGTGAACAGACCTCCCCTGAATTTCCACAACCATAACTCTGGCTATAAGAAAACTTGGACAACTAACATCTTTCTTAACCATAACCACAGATTTTTATTACCTAATCCTAACTAAGGATTATAAAAAAAGACTACGGATTCCAACCGGAATATCAATCAATGGATTAGGAATGGAAAGGTCATCGAATCAATCGTAAACCCAACAAATCCTAATCCTAATAGTACACAGCAAAAATGTCACGTCCCGTCACCGCTGTTAATTAGTGCACTACTGTTAAAGTTGGTTTCTTCTGTTGCAATAGCTTGCTTCTTTCTTTGTGTTTCTTAAATGCAGAGATTTATGAAGAAAAGCTTGAACTGAAGTACAATTTTTATGTTCACAATTAGAATCACTCTTTATAAATGTGTACTAATAAAAAATGTTTAGTGTGCATAATGTCATGAAAATAGTAGCTACAGATTAAGATTTTATTCCTCCTGTAAATTAATAAATAATTTCTTAAATGTATGTTTTTCCATCTATTTAATGCTACTAATTAAAGGTTTTATCGTCATTTTTGTACATGCATTACAAAATCAACATTTTTTCTTTTTCGGTTTATTTGATAGGAAGATGTGACCCATGTCTTTCAGTTGCTTAGCAGCAAAATATAGTGTATTAAGACAGCCACATACTGTGTATTTCCAGGATTTTTACTGTGAAAGGCAAGGACAAGAAGCCCTTTTTGAAGAACAAGCGTGTATGGTACAGATCTCCACTGCCACCTGCCCAGACTGAAACACAATCCCTGCGTTTTTTCAATTTAACAGAGTAAGCAGTTTCCAAGTCTTTGTTTTTAGGGCTCCTAAAATCCCAGAATTTGTGTTGTCTGACTTAAATGCTGTTAGGAATGTCAAAGATGGAGGTTGCCCCATCCCCACCTTTAAAGGGCGATTCCACAACACTCCAACAGGGGACAAGTACATGAGCTGGTTGTGTTGGCTCATGTGCTCATGCTTACAGCAGGTTCAGCTGTGTGCTGCCAAATCTAAAGGTAAACATAAGAGCAGAAATGTACTGGGCCCGGGTGTGTCATTCATCAGACCACGTGAAGCGTAGTTGCGTAATACTCTGGGTGTGATTAATCTGGTGTAGGTTTTGTTTTTTGTTTTTTTTTTTTTTTTTTTTTAGCATACTAAATAATCTCGTACAGTCAATTAAAATGGTACAACCTTCTGGCTTTAACTACCTGTTGTTCAGATCCAGAGCCAAGCTTTCGAAACACTATCACCCATGATTGTTGACATTGTTTGAAATAAAAAAGTATCTTCATTAAAACTGTTTAGATCATTCTAAGGTACCAAAAGCAAACTTTCTTGACTGTACACAAGGCTCCAATAAACAAAAAACTTCCAGACTTTTTAGTACATAACACCATATATGGGGTCATGAAGAGGTGGGCTGGAGCCTATCCCAGCTAACACGTGTTGACAGAAGTTAAGCAGTTAAGCAGAATAAATGTGATTTCTGGAGGGAAAACTTTCCAAAAGTGTTTATTGATGATATAACGGTGACCACTGCCAATCTAATTCACCTTGGATCATTTGTTTTTATTGTCACAGACTAATAAAAATTGTAGGTTGTGAACTGTTTCAGATCCACTGACTTAAATGGTTTGGTTGTGTGTATTGAACCGGTCTTACCTTCTATAGGGGATGTTTTCAGGCGGCGGCAGATGCCCTGCACATCTCCGTAAGTGTCCCGTATCTTGTTGACGGCCTCAGTGCTCCGCAGCTCCATCACGGTCCTCAAGTCCACCATGCTCACCCCAAAGTCCCCTTCATGGTTGCCCTCAGCAACCGAATTCCCCGGAGGGTGGTCTGCAGGGTTGTTTGCCATGGTGGTCCTCTTCACAGCAGTGTCGTTCTTCTGACTGTCTTTGTTTGTAGTGATCGAAACGTTGGCTATGTTATTAGTCACAGGAATTGTGGGTAGTGTAGTTCTTTTAGATGGCAGTCGGAGGAGACAAACTGTGACGTTAAAGCCTTCTCTGGACGTGCATGCTCCTCTCAGTAACTATGGAAACAGTGGAGTAAACATTTTCTGCTGGTTTTACTCTGCAGAGAAAATAGAAAACAGGAAAACAGTTGTTTAGAAACCAGAACCAGAGTGGAAACTGTCTGAAGACGTACCAGCCCAGCATCAGAAGCAGCACACATAAAAAATAAAGAAATAAATAAATTACAGGGACTCCTGAAGTAATCTTTCTAATTAATAGCAGAGAGACTAATTTGCCCAATTAGAGAAGAGATTTTCTCATCTTAGATTATTAAAGGAGTCCCCTGAATCACCGAGGTCGTTATGATATAAACTTATTATCAGTTTGCGCAGCTCCTGTGAGACTTGTGGTTATTTGGTAAATATCTGCTCTCCATTAACCATATGCTGTGAGTTTATCACTCTGGTCAGAAAAAGCAGCATTTTGTCTTTTGTTGTATTTATGAGGGAGTCATAGTTTATTTCCTTGCAAACAGCTGTGGATTGAGTTCAAAATCAAGGGTGTCAAATGTAGTTTTACTAACAACCACACTGGGAAATGAGAACGAAATCAAGTGCTGGACAGATATGGTCTGTTGACAAGGTTTACCTTCATTGAAAATGTATGTCTTCTGCTAGTTTTTCACATTAAAGCCCTGAAGCAGGCCACACAAAAACATTTATTAGCCTTTATAACATTTAGTCAAGATCACGTAGTACACCTGTGCCATAAAATAAATACCTCATTGTATGGTAGGGTTACTACTACTGCTTGCCAGTGGGTGTAGTACCATCATAGTAATTTCATAATTTACATAATTTCCTCTTGGATTCATGAAGTATTCTGAATCTGATGCTACAGAACTGCCACTGTGTCATTGAAAAAGGGTCCAAGGGCAAATCCTGAACCCCAAGTGGCAATTTTTCCACCTTAGTTAACATTTACTCATTACTATCAGAAAGAGCTTTCCATTTCCTCTGCTGCACCAACTGGCCAATTCCTGCAGAAATAATTTAAAAAAAGTGGAAGAAGACTGACCCCCCTCGGTTACACTGGTGTGTTTAGACCACAGCTACAACGGGGTGGATCAGATTTGGTCAACACTGAAATTATATGTGAGCCATATAAACATTTTGAAGGGTTCGAGTTGGCCCACAGGCCTTGATTTATTCACATATTCTCTTCTTCTCAGCCTTACTATGTGTGCAAAAGCACAGCTATACAGTGAAATAAAACACAGCAGTTGAAGACAGCAGTTGGCCTCTGAATTCATTAACTGAAGCATCTGTGAAAACAATATCAGGCAGCAAATTTAATTACAGACTACAAATCAGGAAAAGATTAGATGCCATAATCAAGAGTTTAGGAAAAAACTAGATGAAGAGATGAAGAGCCAGAGGTCACTGTAAATGCAATGCAGCTCTGAGAGCCAATCAGCATCAAGCAGGAGACAATGAGATGGAGGATATCCACTGGGTCAGAGTGTGAAAATGTGTGTCTGGCCAAACTCTGACTCTCCAGCCCATCGCTACAGATTATGTAAGTGCACATCAAAGGCTGTCCTCCATTTTTCGCAGTTTAGCGCTCTTTGATGGACGAGCGCGTGCACACACACACACAGACCCTGTTAGAGAAGTACTACCATTACTGCCGGGGTTAAGCATTTTCTGAGTGGTGGTTTTTGGTACAGGTGTTGCAGGATGATGCTTGGGTCAGTGGTTCTCAGACTGAGGAGGACAGACAGAACAATTTCAAAGCTCTGGTGAATGCTTAATATAACAGTGGGAGCTTCAGCTGGCTCGCTGTGCAATAATTGGCACCTGGTTCACTTAGAGAAATTACCAACTGAACGTCTAATCAAAGTATAGACCTCATTTACATTCGATGGCATCTGGACTCCCAAGTCAGAGACAGTTAAATGTTTATTGTGTAAAAATGCTAAAAAAAATTTCGTGATGCTTTCCTCTTCAGAAATTTGCTTTGAAGTCTCTATAATAATCCTAACATGGTTTGCTCGGTATCAAATGTAAGACAGAGATTGTTGTTCAAACAGGAATTGCTGATGGCCATCTCAGTATGACTTTACATAATGCAAATTTTCCCAACCTGAAACAAAATACACTGCACAGGGAGACTCACTCCACATCAGCGTGGCGGTACGAGCGAGAGCTCACAAGGATCAAAGACGTTTTTCTTTCTCGACATGTCACGTTTGCAGTGTGATATCTGCAATGTGATACTTTAAAATCTACTACAATGGCATTACTTTTTACAGGCCACAATACAGGAAATACAAAAAGTTTACTAGACATATTAATGAGTGAAGAAGAAGAGGTGCAGTCTCAGTGTAAGCTGTTGTGCTATGACAACTGCACACGGTGCAGATTTCCAGTTGGGTCATTTAAATTGTAAAAGTCAAGTTTTTCGACTGACATTTTGCTGTTCTCATGCCAGATATCCGCTTCCACTTAGGTATTCCCCTTTACAACCTAATCCTGTAACGCCAAATGTATCATATTTCATACGTGAGTTCGGCAGCTATTTCATGGTTCAGCATTTACCAGGCTAATAATAGACTGTGCTCATCTATATACTTCATTTTTTTACCTAAATCTATTAGTTACTGCTCCTTACCCTTAATCCAGGGATACTCTCTATTTCAATAAAAAAATATCCAAAATAAATATTAAGGGTGAATGGATGGAATAAAACCAGATAATTCATATTAAATAAACATTTTCCCAGTCTGTGTGATGGTTTTCTTTGTGAGGGTTTTCACCACGTCCTGCGTAATGTTCAACTTTGGGTTGACTCCAAATTCTTCCCGTTTAGAGCAACGCCAGCGTTCACAGTGACAGCTTAGCCTGAGCTTGAACCCGTGTGCGCACAGTTTGATCGACATCCCCCTAAGGGGACGGGGCCTTCCCCGCTTTCGTCACAGCCACTGATCAGTGGCAGATTTGAGAAAACTTTCTGTTCTGCAGCGTTGAATATTACAGAGCTAATGAAAAAGAATAACGTGGCGCATAAACATGCTGTGCAGTCCTTCACAAAGTAGAATATCGGGTCATTCTACACAAATAAACAAAATTACATTAACATGTTTGCAAAGTTGATTTGAATAAATTGTAAATAATTGCCGTAAAGAGTTTACAGATTTATCTGTGTCAACATCTGTGTCAACGTTTATTAATAATTGCTGCACTTTTACAAGTAAAAAAGAGGAGCTGGATGAGTTTGTTTTATGCCCCATCTCTCGTTTTTTTTTTTTTTTTGGTCTTTTTGTCAACTGGAAAATATTAATAAGAAAAAGCTCGTGTTTTTCTTTTTTTTGTATTTACACGCTTTATATTATTGACCGCCACAGTTTCACACGGCACTGGCCTCTCCCAGATAATTTAACAATCCCGTAAGTCTGTTTCATGTTTTCAGTAACTATTTTTGAGTCATTAGTCGCAACATAAGAACGCGGTAATAAAATGAATGCTTGTTTGTTCTAAGTTATTAAAGAAATTGTTGATGATGTCACTGTGATGGAATGTGTTAATTATGGATAATGAGATTACTTAATTACAGAGGCAATAAGAGGATGAAATGTGCGACTATTTAATTAAAAAAGATCGAATATCTACGTTTACATTCATTATTCAGATGTGCATTAAAGAAACCAAATGAGTTACCATGTTGTGCTTTTAGTGTGTTTTGATGTACATGGGCAGAGCTTCAGTGTGCAATTCATAGCTCAGTTTCTTATCAATTTCCTATTAATAGCAGTATTTTTCAGAAGCTTTATGACTGTCTTATCAGCATGGATATAATCAGCAACATTAGTCAGAACATTAATGTTTGTTACTTAATAAAAGGCCCTCATTCATGAATGTGAAATGGAAATAAAACAAAACTGCACAACCCACATATTTTGGGTGGAGTTTCACAAACAACATACACCTTCTGTTTGTTGACTATACAACCACGCCCAGCTCAGTTCGAAGGTAAGCATTTTGACCTTAAACCCTAATGACACACCTGCTCATTCAAACAAAACACACATTTTCTAGCCTGTCAGGTCACTGAGTGTTTGCAAGGTTGTCAGGCTTTAAAGAGTTGTTTCCTTATCACAAACATAAGTGGGGGAACAAAGTGATGACACGAAGATACACCACCAGGTTGCATATACTGTCACAGTGCAGAAAAAAATTGGTTTGTTTCATCTGCTTTGCAAAGGCATTGAAACCCACAGAAGCTGTCATCTGATAACTGTCATACATAACAAGCTGCAGAGCCATTAAGCTCATGTGCAGGTCAGCTTGCTACTGAATATTAGTGTAGAACTTGGCCAGAAACCATGTTATTGTCACTGACGACTAAAACTGGGTGGGGAGACACATTTCAGTTAAAATACAAATAGAAATAGAAACTAGAATAGAAAAATGGAAAAAATAACTGAAACAATACTGGGCACTTACAAAAGACATGCAGTATGCAGAAGCACTGGTATATAAATTTACTGAGATGTGTATATGTCAATACACACATGTATAATTAATGCTGATTCTTAATTTATAGCATCTTGCATCTGACAAATTCATCTATCGCTAACAACAAAATCTGTCTCTGGAAACCAAATCTAAAGTAAAATCTAAGATTTCAAATGAAATCAAGAACATAATAACAACTGAAAGTTTTTAAAAAACAAGAAAAAATCCTCCTGAATCCTCATGCCAGTCAGTAGAGAAATGGGATTTTCACCTCTTGTGTTTGAGAGCAAGACAGGAAAAATGACTTGCACGTACACAAATCAATACAGAGATGAGAGCCAGTGAAACGCTGCATCCTCTTCTGGTGGTTCATTTTTGATCATTTTCAGTTTTGATTAGATCTGCTCTCTGCTGCTGCACAAACAAACAAACTAATCAAGCATTTGTGGTTGTGGCTAATTCAGGGTTAGTAAATTATGTAATGCCCGGCTCAAACTACATGATTTTCTGTTTGTTACGTTATTATTTGTGTAAGATTAGGCGATTATGGAGTCATAAAATCCTGCTTTTTTCTTACTGTAATCTGTAATGAGAGGTGTTA